CATAACAACAGGGGGCACAGAGGAGGGAACAAGTATAAGCAATCGGAGAAACGAGATCTTTCTATAATGACAATTAAAGAGTTGAAAGAGAGCTAACGAGGAGGTTATGTGGTACTAATCAAGAACAGCAACCAAGACTGGCCGAGGACGACGAAGGACGAAGGCAGCCATGGTGAGCAATGCCGGGTTCAGTTGCCAGGCTCAACAGGGCCTGCTCAGAAGCCGAGCCCAGTACCGACTGGAGGAGCCGGCGAGGCGAGCGGCGGCGAGTCGAGTGGGGGGCTTGGCGGCGGGGCGAGCGGCGGCGAGGCGAGCGGCGGCGGCGGCGGAGGCGGCGGCCGCGGCGGCGGAGGCGCTGCGCGCGCTCCGATTCGCGGCGGAGGCGGCGGACGGGGAGGGGCGCGACGTGCCGGGGGACATGCTGCTGCGCCTGCGCGAGATGCTTCCGCGCGCGTCTTGCCGCGAGGAGCAGGTCGAGTGCACGGCGACGCTGCTTCGCCTCGCCCCCGACGCGTGCCTGCCGGAGGGGCTGCCGGGCGACGTCGTGCTGCAGGTGATCGTCAACCATAGGTCCAAAGTCCAAACGACACACCGGTCGAGCATTAGTCCATGACACAGGCGCTCTGCCGTAGGCGCGAATGGTGATCGCAGCCGCAGAGCTCGACGAGGCCGTCGGCACGGGTGCCGTCGACAACATCAAGTACACGTACGAGGCGATGCTCACTCAGTTCGCTCTGCTCAGCGCTGACAACCCTCTGTCGTCGATGGTGCCGCGGGCGCGGCGCGCGCACCAATCCTTTCACGACGCCGAGTTGTGGCTGCGCGCGAAGGCCGCGGCGGAGGCGAGGGCGGAGGAGGAGGCGGCGTGGCTGGCGAAACAGGGCGACTCGCCTGCATTTTGCGCGGCTGCGCAGCGAGCGCTCGCCGCCGGCTTCTCCTTTGAGGTGCCGCCGGGCCACGCTGGTTCTTGCCGGGGGATGGCCACTTTCCATCCCTCCAACCCTACCTGGGGGCACCCTCGAGGATCCATTTTCGCTCACGCCGATCCCCGCGTGTGCGAGACATCGAACCGCGGCGCAGGAGGTTTGCTATCGCTCGTCGCCGGCGGCAAGAACCGCGCGTCGCTATGCGTGCGAGGCTGGGAGGGGATGCGCGGCGACCGGCCGGGCGGCGTGCTCCGCGCCGCACTCGACGCGCTGCAGCGGCGACTGGAGGCGGCGGACTTTGAGATTGTGCTCAAGTCCGTTCGCGCTCGCTCCAGGGGCAGCGCTCGGCTCGGGCTCTTCTGGCACGTCTTCCCGGTGAACACGGCGCCACCTTTGCGGTTGCTGCGCCCGGCGCGGCGGGCGCAGCGGGTCACGCAGGCCCCGGGGCAGCGCAGGCTGCAGCCCACCCTGGAGGCCATCGGCCGCCAGTGCCTTCAGCTCGAGCCATCCTTTCAGGAGGGCAGCACATCCACGCCGGATTGTGGTAGCGGGCAGAACGAGGCCGAGGAGAGCGATGAGTCAGGCGAAGAGACAGCAGGAGAGAGAACGACGAGAGTGGGAAGAACGCGAGGTGGCATGAAGGTCGCTGCGAGAATTGGTGAGAAACTGCGTGCGGAGAGAGATAGGAAGTGGTAGACGCCCGAGGGTGGGCGACGGCTAACAACACACTTCTCCCCTAAAATCCCTGTGTGGTGGCGCGTACCGTCCTCCCATCCCTCCCTTGGTTTGCCTGCTTTCTTTCTTTCTTTTTAGGACTGGGCACGGGAGATTAGCAACGCGGGCAAACAAGAACCACTCCTTTGGACTCATGATCCCGTACGTGAAGGGTGGGGTTGGCCTGTATAAGGTTTTCCGGAAAACAAAAAGGAAAACAGAGGGTCCCCAGCACTTTGCGTTTCCGGAAATTTCCAGGGAAAACAGAGGGTGTTTGGTGCTCCATTCTGGAAACTCGCTGTTTTCCCTGAGTCTGAGAGCTGGTCTGGGGCAAAATCTAAGGCAAAATTGAGGAAATCGACAAAATACCCAGGCGGTCGCAGGGTAAATTCCAGGTATGCACGGGTTCTCCGGAAAATTCCCGGCATTTTGCCGATTTGGCCTAAAATTTGGCTGATTTTGGGCCCAAACCAGCCTCGACTCGGCTCAGAGCCCAAAATTTGACGATTTCCACGGAGTTTTCCCGGGAAAAGAGAGAGGAAAAGAGAGGGTGTTGTAGAGAAAAAAGGAAAGGAAAACAGACGGGGTGCGAGAGGAAAACCTTATACAGCCTAAGGGTGGGGCCCGTCCGCAGAGAAGGACGATCACGGACACAGGGAACGCGAACGGGAGTTGGGAGCGCATCGCGACACGGAGGGGGGCTGGGCAGGTTCACCCACACGACAAAAAGAAAGACAACGGACAACCGAAGGGAGGGATGGGAGGACGGCACGCCGCCACCACACAGGGATTTCTCGCGGTCGTCCCACTCTCGTCGTTCTTTCCCTGGTCACTTCTTCCTCTGTCGCGTCGCTCTCCTACTCTGCCTCGTCCTGCGACGGCGCCGCCGCCTGCCGGTCCCTTGTTCTCGCGGCTTCTTGCTCCTTTCGGCGCAGCTCCGTCCTCCTCGCTGCATATCCTGACACGAAAGAAAGAAAGAAAGAAAAAGGACACCCCAAGGGAGGGATGGGAGGACGGCACGCCGCCACCCCCACACAGGGATTTTAAGGAGAGGGGTGTGGTGCACTAGCCGTCGCCCTCCCTTGGGCGTCCGCCTCTTCCTATCTCTCTTCGCAGTCTCTCTCCGCTTCTCGCTGCGATCTTCGTGCCACCTCGCGGTCGTCCCCTTCTCGTCGTGCTCTCCCTTGTCGCTTCTTCCTCTGTCGCGTCGCTCTCCTCTGCCTCGTTCTGCGACGCCGCCGCCGCCTGCCGGTCCCTTGTTCTCGCGGCGCGTTCTTTCGCCTTTCGGCGCAGCTCCGCCCTCCTCGCTGCATATCCTGGCCCCTCGAGTCTATCGAGCTCTCCTCGCGCAAGGACGAGTCTTCTGACGCCCACTGCGATCATTTGCCACCCAGTCATATCATTGCTCAGGTCCACTCTCTCTTCGAACACTTGTGCCTTCACGGATGATGCCGGCGCTGGGGCCAGAAAAGGGGTTGTGAGGATCCTAAGAGGGGCGCTCAGGATCCTGACCCGGACGATGGTGCGCTCAAGATCGCACCGTCTGACGGGGGGGCGCTGGGGATCTTGTGCCTCGGAAGGGGGCGCCGCAGATCGCGGCCGGTCAGGTGGGGCGCCGAGGATCTGAGCGCCCCAGCAGGGACAACGCAGATCTTAGCGAAGAAAGAGGCGCTCCCCAGATCTCGACACACGGTCAGTGGCGCTCAAGATCTGCGCTCGTAAACAGGGGCGCTCAAGATCCTGACACGAAAACAACGCACCTAGCTGCTAACTTTAGGCGCCAGAGATCGCGGTGCGTGCCTCGCTGCTACCAGGATCGCGCTCTCTCAACGATGGCGTCCGTGATGTTTGCCTCTGAGGATGGCTTTTGTGACAGCGGCGGCGATGGTAGCGAGGGGGCAGCGGCGACGAGGGCAGCGGTGACGAGGGCAGCGATGATGGCAGCAGATCGCCCACAAAGTGGATGTGTGAGCCAAGGCAACTTCGTGGCTACCTTCGAAAGGCGCTTGCCTATCAGAGGGCGGCGGCGCGCGGGCGGAACAGGAGGCAGTGGTTGAAGTCGACAGGTACCGCACCGCTCTCTTCCACAGGCAGGCGCTAGAGAAGAAGAAGGCGAGCCAAGCCAAGCTGGGGGATGCAGCTCGCGGCAGCTTTGGCGCGCTGGCCACCCTGCTTGCAGAGCTTGAGCCGGAGCACCTGAAGGCAAAGGAGCAGTTCCACGAGCACACGCCCTTCCTCTGCGGTGAGGCTCTGGTTGTGCCGGAGACCGGTACAATTACCATGGCCTTCTCGACAGAGAACCTGCTGCTGAATGCTTACCGGCAGAGCGTCCTTGGTCTTCCGTCATTTGTCTGCATTGACACGACGCATCGCCTAATCTCCGAGGGTATCTCGAGACTCGTGTTGCAGCATGGTTGTCACTCACCCACGTCACCCGCACGCCCCATGCGTGTAGGTCTCTGCTGCATGCCAGTGGGAACCATGAGCCCCACGCAGCACTTCCACACCATTGGTTATGGCATCTGCTCAAGTGAGGACGCGGAGGCTCACAAATATGTCCTCTCCCAGCTGCGTGACGAGGTCAACAAGGTCGTCGCATCGCGGGCAAAGACAGGCACGCGGGTGTGAGAGCTGTGGT